ATGCATGTAAGTCTACTTACTCGATCATCTCTTTACGGTACACATGCATGTAAGTCTACTTCATCGATCATCTCTTTACAGTACACATGCATGTAAGGCTACTTAATCGATCATCTCTTTACAGTACACATGCATGTAAGTCTATTTATTCGATCATCTTTTTACAGTACACATGCATGTAAGGCTACTTAATCGATCATCTTTTTACAGTACACATGCATGTAAGGCTACTTAGTACACATCGATCATCTCTTTACAGCACACATGCATGTAAGTCTTCTTAATCGATCATCTCTTTACGGTACACATGCATGTAAGTCTACCTAATCGATCACCTCTTTACAGCACACATGCATGTAAGTCTTCTTTATCGATCACTGTCCATTTTCCTGGACAATCCAATGAAAACCAAAACTTCATGACCGAAGTTTCTTCCACGTGACGTTTAGAACACATACCAAGACATAAACGGGTTGATATGCCTCACGTGTATATCTGTTGCTGGTCGTATATATTGTCCTTGTCCAAAATATAGTACTAAAGGAAAACGTAACTGTGCTTCCCAAGAAGCTAAATGTAAATGCTGTGTTACTGAATACAGCCATAATGTTTAGTCAGTTGTTGCATTATAACAAATTCATTGTGAAAGCCCACAACAGGGAGGAGGAGGAGGAGACAGAGTGACATGTCCTAAAGAGAGGTGATATAACAACTCGATGAAGGATATCGGGTGTAACCAACATCTGCATTGAAACTGGCGAAGCAGCATCGTGCTTTTAATATACCAGATGATTGAAAATAGCTTGGGGAATGTTGTTCCAAATATCAACCTAACATTAGGCAAATTTAGCTGGCGTTACTGGCTGCCTCTGGTCCTATCCTAGGTATGGTCCGACCTCATGTTCTACGGGGTACAGGCACGTGGACAACCGGCCCTTGATAAGTCATGAGTATCTGGCAAATTCGTTTTGTGCCATTCCTTTTCGAAGCAAAACTATAGAGCGTCGCCGTTGTTGCGACATAGTCTTTGAAAGCGTTATTTATGGTTAAACGAAAGTGTTTTATGAGCATCTATTAGCAAAAAGATAATGGTGTTCAGATACCAAAACCAAGTGCGTGAGTATCAGGCTCCAAACAAACCCTTAAACATCTAAATTGTTCGCCGTGCATGAACATGCACGTTCAAATTGTGAGTAACGATGTTAAAGTCGTGGAGATGTCTTCCTAAATATGAATTAAAATGCTTTCGTCAATTTCAGAACCTATGTTTTGTACTTTATATGAAGCACTTCCCACAAGTGTACTTCCCACATTCTAACCACAGCATACCATTTGTATTTGTATTTGTACTTATATTCATGAAACCTTTACAAGCAATAGAAAATACTCTCTATGCACCTCCAGACTTTGGTACGCCACATTTCTCAACAGTAAAAGTAGCTCTGAGACGTTCTCTTGGAACTGATCATACAAATACATGATCTTTCCTGACCACGTATCAACAACTCGAGAGTATTAAACCTGTAAAATCCTACTGATTGACAACTTCGTCATTACAGCCTCCATATGTCCATGGTACTGCTGCTATCGGTGTCTTCCCATTCTGCCTACACGTTAAAACAACATGATACGGTCCAGTGATCAGGATGTAAGGTTAATGTGCTGACCTATTCTACCTTCACTAAAATCAACTTGACCAAAAGTCAACTTTTGGCAATACGGGAAACATTGACTAAAATAGGGTTTCTAGATATAAGGTATCGTTATCCTTGGTGAATGCATTTCATTCATTGAAACTGACAAAATGTCATGGAATATAATTCTTCAACTGCTGATGCCACCCCTCAAAATGGTTATTCGTCCTGGGCCCAATATTGCCGAACTGTGTCCAGATTCCTACAGGAAAGCGTGCCTCATAGTCCATATAGTCATTGATGGCATTCCAACGGGGCGTGGTTGTGTTGCATTGTGGATTTAATGAAGTCTCCAGTTATGAAAAAGCGGCCCTTGTATGCGGAATGCACACACTTCCAATTAGAAGATAACATACTGTGTTACAGCGAGGTTTACAGCGAAATTATTATAGCTGTATTTATAATTTCAACTAAAAAAATAAAGATTAAATAAAAATTAAAATAGATCAAACACAGTTCTGAAGTTAGACTCAGGAACACGTAAAGGACATAACCTCACGGAATCTGACTGAACTCTGAGGTACTGCACTGACAGTAGGTGTCCAAGTGCTGACAGTAACATAGTCTGTAATGTATTGTTCCGCACACAAAATCAGCCGCCACTTGGCTAGGCAGGGTGAGCTACACACACAGCTCCTCCAGCCACTTGGCTAGGCAGGGTGAGCTACACACACAGCTCCTCCAGCTGCCCATGCTGCCACTTGGCTGGGTAAAGTGAGCTACACACACAGCTCCTCCAGCCACTTGGCTAGGTAAGGTGAGCTACACACACAGCTCCTCCAGCCACTTGGCTAGGTAAGGTGAGCTACACACACAGCTCCTCCAGCCACTTGGCTAGGTAAGGTGAGCTACACACACAGCTCCTCAAGCCACTTGGCTAGGCAGGGTGAGCTACACACACAGCTCCTCCAGCTGCCCATGCTGCCACTTGGCTAGGTCCTCCAGCCACTTGGCTAGGTGAGCTACACACACAGCTCCTCCAGCTGCCCATGCTGCCACTTGGCTAGGTAAAGTGAGCTACACACACAGCTCCTCCATCCACTTGGCTAGGTAAGGTGAGCTACACACACAGCTCCTCCAGCTGCCCATCCAGCTGCCCATGCTGCCACTTGGCTAGGTAAGGTGAGCTACACACACAGCTCCTCCAGCCCCATGCCACTTGGCTGAGGTAAGGTGAGCTACACACACAGCTCCTCCAGCCACATGCTGCCACTTGGCTAGGTAAGGTGAGCTACACACACAGCTCCTCCAGCTGCCCATGCTGCCACTTGGCTAGGTAAGGTGAGCTACACACACAGCTCCTCCAGCCACTTGGCTAGGTAAAGTGAGCTACACACACAGCTCCTCCACTTGGCTAGGTGGTGAGCTACACACACAGCTCCTCCAGCTGCCCACTGCCACTTGGCTAGGTAAGGTGAGCTACACACACAGCTCCTCCAGCCACTTGGCTAGGTAAGGTGAGCTATACACACAGCTCCTCCAGCTGCCCATGCTGCCACTTGGCTAGGTAAGGTGAGCTACACACACAGCTCCTCCAGCCACTTGGCTAGGTAAGGTGAGCTACACACACAGCTCCTCCAGCTGCCCATGCTGCCACTTGGCTAGGCAAGGTGAGCTACACACACAGCTCCTCCAGCTGCCCATGCTGCCACTTGGCTAGGTAAGGTGAGCTGCACACACAGCTCCTTCCAGCTGCCCATGCTGCCACTTGGCTAGGTAAGGTGAGCTGCACACACAGCTCCTTCAGCTGCCCATGCTGTCACTTGGCTAGGTAAGGTGAGCTACACACAGCTCACCCAGCTGCCCATGTTGCCACTTGGCTAGGCAAGGTGAGCTGCACACACAGCTCCTTCAGCTGCCCACTGCTGCCAGCTTGGCTAGGTAAGGTGAGCCACACACAGCTACACACAGCTCCCCCAGCTGCCAATGCTGCCACTTGGCTAGGCAAGGTGAGCTACACACACAGCTCCTCCAGCTGCCCATGCTGCCACTTGGCTGGGCAAGGTGAGCTACACACACAGCTCCTCCAGCTGCCCATGCCCATGTTGCCACTTGGCTGGGTAAAGTGAGCTACACACACAGCTCCCCCAGCTGCCCATGCTGCCACTTGGCTAGGCAAGGTGAGCTACACACACAGCTCCTCCAGCTGCCCATGCTGCCACTTGGCTGGGTAAGGTGAGCTACACACACAGCTCCTCCAGCTGCCCATGCTGTCACTTGGCTAGGTGAGGTGAGCTACACACAGCTCCCCCAGGTGCCCATGTTGCCACTTGGCTGGGTAAGGTGAGCTACACAGCTGCAGTACGGCCATCACGTGCAGTCCAAGTCAACTGGTGTTCTGTTCCGGGGACCGATCAAGTATCATGTCATCTATACCTGGCTTATTAGTCATCCAGTTCATAGACTCCCTGCTGTGTGTGATACGTATGGGATGCACGACGCAGGTAGGTATTCCCAGCTGTCGCATACTGGCAATTAATTACTCTCCAGGTAGCTATACTAATGCTTAGTCTCTGAATATATATATTTATATATATTTTTTTGATAGTAACAAACAAGCCCGTTTAAATTGAAAAGGAGACCAAGGGAGACCACAGATTCAGATAAACCTGAGGAAATCTAGACTTGCTTTATTTAGGGCTTTAGCACTGCAGAGAGGGCGTGGCAGTAGGGGAAATAATGTGGTTCAGGGACTGGGAGACAGGCTAATCCCGCATACATGATGGGGTAGATAGTGTTTCTCTATTTAGCTCCAATAGAGACACACAGTCGAATTTAGAACGATGGAACTGACAATACGATTTGTACAATACAGTTTGGACAATACGGTTTACGGGTCCTACTGGGTGTAGACCTGATACTGTGATGTACGGCCGGTGCAGCACGTATCTTACAGACGTAGCCACAAGTGATTCCCAAACACACCGACCACAGTCACAAAGTCACATACGGGAATACCCAGTTGTAAGGGCTTCCATGTAGCAGCAGAGGACGTTTCCACATAGACCGATTACGGCATTGATCGGCTTCTGACGGCATTCCAAACATTCGAAGAAATGAGACATATTTGATTGTGAAATAAACACCGCCTTAGCTCAAATTAGAAAAAAGTGATCGTGTTACCGGTCAATAGTATCAATCTTGTGTTTAAACAATCGAAAACAGGATGTTGGGTTTATATTTGACCAATCATGGAGTTATTTGAGGACCGACTATTGTAGACACTCACAGAACATGGCATCAGGTCACATCAAATCGTCACATTTCCAGTGTCAACAACTCGTGAGAAAAGCCAAGAGCCCATACCTCAGTGTGACAGTTTAGTCCCTCTGGCCGTGTAAATCCATGGTGTGTAGATGGTTGTGGATCGGGCGCAGCAGCAGGACCAGGGACGGCGACTTCAGGAGGATGAATGAATCAAGGGCGAACGGAGGACACGAGTGCCGCGAGATGTTTCCCGCCACCGACTGCAGTCTGGTGCCTACAACCAGGGAGTCAAGTTGAGCCCACCATCGATCGATGCAGCCTTCACTGATATATTCAAATAGCATTCAGCTTCACTGGCATGGGAACCGGTGGAGAATAGGCCGTTGTCCACGCCATGGTGACCTAACTGCTGTATTGGATTGCTGATTGGTTTGATTGCGCTGACCTTACACTCAGCGTTCCTACACGCCTCAGTCGCCCCACGGTACAGACCTGTTCTCTTGTCACATGAGTATTATGTATCGTTATCTCAAGGTTCAATTTCTTTAATAAAGCCGAAACGTGTTTAACAGTTTTCACACAAGTCGGTGAAAAATTGGAATTTTAATAAGAATAGTTAAAGATAACGTGAACATGGATTTTCCTCGACGAGTGGACACCCGCAGATAATGGCTGGCGGTGGTCACATGTGTTTTGTTGTATTCCCGGGCCCAAACTATGTATAAGTATTACCCCGGGGTCAAGTTTCAAAATTAATATTTAACACTATGAGTGTCCAGATGTGAAGAATAGCCCACAAGTTCTCACAGAGAATGCCCAATTTGAAAGACACAACTCGTAAAAAAATAAAGACAATATTTCTGTCACCTGTTGTTGCTGTTTTATTGAAGAAAGTGTCACGAACGAAAATCAGAAATTGTAGCACTCAAGGGGAGCTTGTAAAAATTCCATCACATCTCATGCAATGCTACCCTACACGATCGTTGTAATCTACGTGACTTTTCTTTATGGTGTCTGCATAACACATTGTAGGGAGATATCATTCACAAAATCCAGTCGTTATTCCCAAAGTTGTGGTTCGTTAACTGACTGACTGACTGAGTTTAGTTTTACGCCGCTTTTAGCAATATTCCAGCAATATCACGGCGGGGGACACCAGAAATGGGCTTAACACATTGTGCCCATGTGGGGAATCGAACCCGGGTCTTCGGCGTGACGAGCCAACGCTTTAACCACTAGGCTACCCCACCGCCCCTTGTGGTTCGTTAAGAAAACAACATTACATGTAACATCCTTTCCACAAACAGTTGAGTTTGTTAGCATTATAACAATAAACTTTATCAAGGCAAAGCTCTTGAAAATATCATTTTATGTTATACTGTTAAATGCAGTTCTTTACACACAAAAAAACGACAAAATGAATCGACATCTGAGAGGTAATATAATGAACTTCACTGAGAATACAACAACATTTACGTAAGGTAATATTATTGATCAGGTTGCCAATGAATGCCTTTGTAACGTAGATTACAGATTTGCACAAAAAACACTTGTTCAGATGAATAACATTCATTCCTTCTTTTTTTTATTCCCTTGTCCGTAATCCCGCTGAATCTCTGCACGAGTCTTGCCCATTCTGTCAGAATGATAGTTTTGTAATCTACGTTACCAAACTGTAATCTACGTTACCTTACAAACTAATTCATTTGACGTAATACTCGTCCTCATATAGACCGATTTTACATCAATTTACCATATGCGAAAGTCATTATTGCTACTTGATGAGCAATAAATAAAATATTCATAACAGTTACCGGAACATGTGATAGCTATGAAGGTATTACTTCATTCATTGCAATCTACGTTACCATGCTTTGAGGAAAGTGTACAAAATTGAGGGGAAAAATATGTTGCAGATTTCTTAAGAGGTCGAAATATCATATGTTTAGGGTTAAGATCAATATATCTAAAAAATCTATGTGATATTAAAACAATTGATACATGCTTCACGAAATACAACTTCTGTCAATCTTTTGAAATGATGGCTACCGACACCCAAATATAGTGATCATTTCCGAATGCTTCTAAAGCATAAAGAATAAAGATGAAGTTTCCCTTCCAATTTTGAATTTCGTGAAATGTCACTGAAGTGCTGCGACCATGTGACAGCAACCGGTGGTAACTGTTGTAGGTTATCAAATTATTTGCCTGGGTTCTCTGACTATGCTACGAAGCGAAATGTTCTATTTCCAATTATATTTTGTGAGATTCCATATCAGGTGGTAACATAGATTTCATAACGTAGATTACTTTCACCGTTTGCAAACTACCATGATCTTGACTGGAAGCATATTGCACTCCCTTTTCGGATTTATTACTCTATGAAAACACCAAGCATTCATCCTAATCACTTTTATAGGTAACTGTTATTCATGTTTCCGTACAGTAGTGGTAACGTAGCTTTCATGCTTAACACAACTCTGTTTATAGACCGGGTTCGTCTTTGTGTACGGTTATATATGGTATGATGTGTTCCAAGATGACACTGTTTGTACATATACTATATCCAGAAAACACTTGCGAGCATTCAAAACAAATGTTTGCCAATATATATGCATTTTACACTGCATTTTACGTTCGGTAACGTAGATTACCGCTATTGTGGCGACATATTTCGTAGTGTCACATTTGTTTTGTTTATTATGATAATCCCTTCATATTTTCATAGGTTTTACATTCATGTACGTACAACCTATGGGACGTGATTTTAAACGCCTATGATGGTAAACATACTAAGTGTATCCATTTGTTTAAACACTACAGCTTTGGCGACACCAAGAAAGAATAAATTGTGACACATATTTTGGTTGTTACAAATAAAATAGCGATTACCAGTTGATGTCTACGAATTATACCATGTTTACTTGGTAGTACTGGATGCGTATTTGACTTTTATTCGTGTGTATTCGTCTGCTTAACAAGTACATATCAAAACGACATAAGAAATGGCCAATTGGGCATTCTCTCTGAGAATTGGTGAGCCACTGAATATACCGCTACTTGTCTTCCGTGCCGCCGCAGTTCGCTGTGCTGGGTACCCCTGTAACCCGTGATCGTTGATTGTAATCCCAGTTCTCTCCTTGGTCTAACAGCACCATACGGGTGCTAGAGGTCGACATCCCTCCAGGCTTCCTCCCACATCAAGCTGACACACCGTGATGTAACAGGAATCATGGTCAAAGCGGCGTTAAACTATGCATAAGTAATCATTGTTGAATGAACGAATAGTCAAATCAAAGAATGGCAATTACTATGAAATTGAAGAGTAATCGCTAGTCGGTGTAGCCTGCTTGATTCTTCTACTTCTTGTGAAGGTACAGTCAGATTCACCGGGTACAACGGCGACAATAGATTCACTGCTTTAATGTGCATGGTTAAAGTAGTAACTCGCGATGATGTTTCACTAATAATTGCTACAAGCTGGTATGGCAGGTAAACTTTGATATAACCACGTGTAGGAAACATCTACATTACATATTAATATAAACCATTACACCAATATCAGCGTATACTAGAGGCCTTGAGTCCAACAAAAAATAGTTTTTTGCGTTTTTAAACTGTCTCAGTACATCAGTTATATTTGGGTTGTTTCTTTGTAGTTAAACTAATTTTAAACACCGACCATACACTATGTGTTACACTCTTTCATCCCAAATTGTAACGTAACCAGTAAATGATTATTGTTTCATATATATAGTATACAGGCATGATTAATCTACTAGAAAGTTTACAACAGACTGACCTACCTTCCAGTACTTGACATACTCGTTCCAAGTGAAATGAAAACACTGCAAGGATATGGGGAAAGTCCGACACACTTTCAATGACCCGTAAGCCAAATAGCTCACAGGAGAAGCTGACCAGTTTAACACAATGGGAGAAAGGTAGGGGTGTTCTCTGGACACAAAAGACAGTCGCTGATGATAAAACAAAGGGGGATCCGCAGTTGGTCATTATAAGCCGGTCAAGTGAAGTAGTGGACAGTTCTAAATGTGTCGAATTACCTTAGTTTCTGCTTCAGGCGTTCCGCTATAAACGACGCACTATCATTATCCTAAATACAGATTGAATCAATTTAGCTTACATGCAGCAAGTAACCCGCTACAGGGAATTGTACGTACGTCTATACAGCAAGCACCATCCCACTACAGGGAAATGTACTACGTCTAAAGAGCCAGTACCATCCCGCAACAGGGAACTGTACTGTACGTCTATACAGCAAGTACCATCCCGCTACAGGGAACTGTACGTATGTCTATACAGCAAGTACCATCCCACTACAGGGAACTGTACGTATGTCTATACAGCAAGTACCATCCCACTACAGGGAACTGTACGTACGTCTATACAGCAAGTACCATCCCACTACAGGGAACTGTACGTACGTCTATACAGCAAGTACCATCCCGCTATAGGGAACTGTACGTATGTCTATACAGCCAGTACCATCCCGCTATAGGGAACTGTACGTACGTCTATACAGCAAGTACCATCCCACTACAGGGAACTGTACGTACGTCTATACAGCAAGTACCATCCCGCAACAGGGAACTGTACGTACGTCAATACAGCAAGTACCATCCCACTACAGGGAACTGTACGTATGTCTATACAGCAAGTACCATCCCACTACAGGGAACTGTACGTACGTCTATACAGCAAGTACCATCCCGCTACAGGGAACTGTACGTATGTCTATACAGCCAGTACCATCCCGCAACAGGGAACTGTACGTATGTCTATACAGCCAGTACCATCCCGCTACAGGGAACTGTACGTACGTCTATACAGCAAGTACCATCCCCTACAGGGAACTGTATGTACGTCTATACAGCAAGCACCATCCCACTATAGGGAACTGTACGTACGTCTATACAGCAAGTACCATCCCGCTACAGGGAACTGTACGTACGTCTATACAGCAAGTACCATCACGCTATAGGGAACTGTACGTACGTCTATACAGCAAGTACCATCCCACTACAGGGAACTGTATGTACGTCTATACAGCAAGCACCATCCCACTACAGGGAACTGTACGTATGTCTATACAGCAAGTACCATCCCACTACAGGGAACTGTACGTATGTCTATACAGCAAGTACCATCACGCTATAGGGAACTGTACGTACGTCTATACAGCAAGTACCATCCCGCTACAGGGAACTGTACGTATGTCTATACAGCCAGTACCATCCCGCAACAGGGAACTGTACGTATGTCTATACAGCCAGTACCATCACGCTATAGGGAACTGTACGTACGTCTATACAGCAAGTACCATCCCGCTACAGGGAACTGTACGTATGTCTATACAGCAACAGTACCATCCCGCTACAGGGGAACTGTATGCGTATGTCTATACAGCAAGTACCATCCCACTACAGGGGAACTGTACGTACGTCTATACAGCAAGTACCATCCCGCTACAAACTGTACGTATGTCTATCACAGGGGTACGTCTATACAGCAAACCATCGCGTGTCGTACGTATACAGCAAGTACCATCCATCCGGCTATAGGGAACTGTACGTACGTCTATACAGCAAGTACCATCCCGCTACAGGGAACTGTAATGCGTCTATACAGCAAGTCCATCCCGCTACAGGGAACTGTATACCATCAGCAAAGTACCATCCCACTAGGGGAACTGTACGTACGTCTATACAGCAAGTACCATCCACTACAGGGGAACTGTATGTGCGTCTATACAGCAAGTACCATCCCACTACAGGGGAACTGTACGCATACGTCTATACAGCAAGTACCATCCCACTACAGGGGAACTGTATGCGTCTATACAGCAAGCACCTATACAGCAAGTACCATCCCATCTACTAGGGAACTGTATACGCAAGTACCATCGTCTATACAGCAAGTACCATCCATCCCGCTACAGGGAACTGTATGTACGTCTATACAGCAAGTACCATCCCACTACAGGGAACTGTACGTATGTCTATACAGCAAGTACCATCCCACTACAGGGAACTGTACGTACGTCTATACAGCAAGTACCATCACGCTATAGGGAACTGTACGTATGTCTATACAGCAAGTACCATCCCGCTACAGGGAACTGTACGTATGTCTATACAGCCAGTACCATCCCGCAACAGGGAACTGTACGTATGTCTATACAGCCAGTACCATCCCGCTACAGGGAACTGTACGTACGTCTATACAGCAAGTACCATCCCACTACAGGGAACTGTATGTATGCGTCTATACAGCAAGCACCATCCCACTATAGGGAACTGTACGTACGTCTATACAGCAAGTACCATCCCGCTACAGGGAACTGTACGTATGTCTATACAGCAAGTACCATCCCACTACAGGGAACTGTATGTACGTCTATACAGCAAGTACCATCCCACTACAGGGAACTGTAATGCGATGTCTATACAGCAAGTACCATCCCACTACAGGGAACTGTACGTATGTCTATACAGCAAGTACCATCCCACTACAGGGAACTGTAATGTACGTCTATACAGCAAGTACCATCACCGCTATATAGGAACTGTATACAGCGTATCCCGCTATACAGCAAGTACCATCCCGCTACAGGGGAACTGTGCGTACGTCTATACAGCCAGTACCATCCCATCCTGCAAGTACCAGGGAACAGGAACTGTAATGCGTGTCATGTCAATACATCCGCAAACTGTAATACCATCCCCATACAGGGGGACTGTCGTGCGACGTCTATACAGCAAGTACCATCCCACTACAGGGAACTGTATGTATGTCTATACAGCAAGCACCATCCCACTACAGGGAACTGTACGTCATGCGTCTATACAGCAAAGTACCATCCGCTACAGCTACAGGGAACTGTGCGATGCGTCTATACAGCAAGTACCATCCCGCTATAGGGGAACTGTATGCGTCTATACAGCAAGTACCATCCCACTACAGGGGAACTGTACGTGACGTCTATACAGCAAGTACCATCCCACTACAGGGAACTGTATATGTACGTCTATACAGCAAGTACCATCCCACTACAGGGAACTGTACGTAACGTCTATACAGCAAGTTACCATCCCACTACAGGGAACTGTACGCGTTATGTCTATACAGCAAGTACCATCCCACTACACAGGGGAACTGTACGCGTGCGTCTATACAGCAAGTACCATCCCGCTACAGGGAACTGTACGCATGTCTATACAGCAAGTACCATCCCGCTACAGGGAACTGTTAGGAACTGTATGCGTCGTCTATACAGCAAAGTACCATCCCACTACAGGGAACTGTACGTGACGCTATACAGCAAGTACCATCCCGCTACAGGGGAACTGTACATATGTCTATACAGCAAGTACCATCCCGCTACAGGGGGCTGCAATACGCATGTCTATACAGCCAGTACCATCCCGCCAACGGGGAACTGTCGTATACAGCCAATTACCATCCCGCTACAGGGAACTGTATCGCGATACAGCGTCTATACAGCAAGTACCATCCCACTACAGGGAACTGTATGCGATGCGTCTATACAGCAAGTACCATCCCACTACAGGGAACTGCGTGCATGTCTATACAGCAAGCAAGTACCATCCCGCTACAGGGAACTGTAATGCGCATGCGTCTATACAGCAAGTACCATCCCACTACAGGAACTGTATGCCTATCGTCTATACAGCAAACTGCGTAATACCATCCCTACAGGGAACTGTATGCGTGTCTATACAGCAAGTACCATCCCACTACAGGGAACTGTACGTATGTCTATACAGCAAGTACCATCCCACTACAGGGAACTGTACGCGATATCTATACAGCAAGTACCATCATCGCTATAGGGAACTGTATGCGTGCGCCTATACAGCAAGTACCATCCCGCTACAGGGAACTGTACGATATGTCTATACAGCCAGTACCATCCCACAACAGGAACTGTGCGTATGTCTATACAGCCAGTACCATCACGCTATAGGGAACTGTACGCACGCCTATACAGCAAGTACCATCCCACTACAGGAACTGTATACAGCAAGTATGCGTCTATACAGCAAGTACCATCCCACTACAGGGAACTGTAATGCGTTATGTCTATACAGCAAGTACCATCCCGCTACAGGGAACTGTACGCGTCGCCTATACAGCAAGTACCATCCCGCTACAGGAACTGTAAGTATGGTGTATACAGTCCAATACATCACGCAAGTACCATCCCTATACAGCAAGTACCATCCGCTAGGGAACTGTACGTATGTCTATACAGCAAGTACCATCCCGCTACAGGGAACTGTATATGTATGTCTATACAGCAAGTACCATCCCACTACAGGAACTGTACGCATACGTGTACTATACAGCAAGTACCATCCCGCTATAGGGAACTGTATATGATCTATACAGCAAGTACCATCTATACAGCAAGTACCATCCCGCTACAGGGAACTGTACGTATGTCTATACAGCAAAGTACCATCCCGCGATATAGGGAACTGTATATGTCTATGTCTATACAGCAAGTACCATCCGTGATATATGCAACTGTATATATCTATAGATACAGCAAACATACCATTGTGATATATGCAACTGTATATGTCTATAGATACAGCAAGTACCATTGTGATATATGCAACTGTATATGTCTATAGATACAGCAAGTACCATTGTGATATATGCAACTGTATATGTCTATAGATACAGCAAGTACCATGTCTAGAGATACAGCAAATTGTGATATATGCAACTGTATGTGTCTATAGATACAGCAAGTACTATTGTGATATATGCAACTGTATATGTCTATAGATACAGCAAGTACCATTGTGATATATGCAACTGTATATGTCTATAGATACAGCAAGTACTATTGTGATATATGCAACTGTATGTGTCTATAGATACAGCAAGTACCATTGTGATATATGCAACTGTATATGTCTATAGATACAGCAAGTACTATTGTGATATATGCAACTGTATGTCTATAGATACAGCAAGTACCATTGTGATATATGCAACTGTATATGTCTATAGATACAGCAAGTACCATTGTGATATATGCAACTGTATATGTCTATAGATACAGGAAGTAATATTGTGATATATGCAACTGTATATGTCTGTAGCTATATGCAACGGTATGTTAGTTTATGTTTATGTAGCAAGTAAAATTGTGCTATATGCAACTGTACATGTGTCTATACAGCAAGTACCCATCCCGCTACAGGGAACTGTATGCGGGTTTATACAGCAAGTACCATCTCACTATATGGAAGTGCCTCTGTGGAATATGGTATATCCCATTGTATTAAGGTGGAAACATATCCATATACACCTGACAATGAAAGCCTTTGTCAGGCGCTGTTGTCAACATGTCAGTCTGTAACCTCGAATCCTGATGTGTGTAAGGAATAAGGTGGATGCTGAAGGATTTGAAAGCTATAGATTTGGATGGTAACTGGCAGTGATCGATTCGTGCACCTGGTCCTGATGGAAGAGCACACCAGCTATAAGTATGCAATTCGTTATATTCAGTTTATATTACAAGGCTGATTACTTGAAGCATGCTAGTTTTTCTGTGGTGGTGCACTTAATATCTTGCAAACAGTTAATTCTGCCCAAATGTTACCTGCAGGTTCATCAGAAAGAAACTATACAGGATAAAAAATCCTCATATTCAGTTGCAAGGTTTTATTTTTCATCTTTTACATAAAATGGAGAGTGACAAGCCTTCAGGACATGTTGGTAATGGAACGTTTCTTCAGGGTCATCTTTTGGCTGGTTTGGTAGAAACCAACACTTGGACTGGAGAACACAAGTCTACAAGGTCCTGCTTCTTTGAAAAACGTTTCCCCTGAAGATTTGGCTCCAACACAAGGTTCAGCTCAACACAACATGACTCTGATAACAGAAGATGAAAACTTTACTGAGACTGTTTATTATGCGATGCCATGTAAAAACAGATGATCTCCTATTTGATGATGATGATGATGATGATGATGATGATGATGATGATGATGATGATGATCCTTGGATTTATATTATAGACAAAATATTTTATCTGTCAGTGCTTCAAGAATTACAATTTTTCTTCTCTGAGTGGAGTTACCAAACAGTCTGAACTAGAACTGGAACTGAAACACATCTTACAGATCATCTAGCACGTTCAGTGAATATATATATTTTTGTTTTATATAACCTTTTTTTTCAGTTTCTAGAACAATATTTTTTCTCAATGTTCCCAGCCCTCAACAGATTAATACATATGTGTCCCTGAAGAGTACAGGATATATTTACCTGACCACAAGGCATGTGAAATGACCACCTGTGTCTGGAGCCTGTGTCGGAGTGGACTCAACTTCTTCCAGTCTGAGGCACATGGTGTCAGCAGCTGGACCTGCTGGTCTGGGTAACGTACCTGCAACAGTCATCCACATTGCATAGTCTACTCAGTGATACAGTAACAGAACTACAAACGGTCAGCTGCAGAGATACTGTTACCATGAAGTACCCAAGTTCTGTGTTACCTGTATCTTAAGTCTGTGAACATCAGGTAAATTTTCAACAGTCACATCCAGGGGAATGGCTGCTGTGAGGCCTGCTGCAAACTTGACCGGGGTGTCTGATACATTAGGCCCTGGCTCATGTATGACAACCTTGGCTTTGCGCACTTGTTGGGTGGTGGGGAACGCCACTGGGCGAATCAATGGAATAGCTGACTGAATGAGGTGGCGGACTGAGTTCAGCTTGGTTGGGTCTAAAGTGTTGAGGCTAGACAGAATCTGCTTTGTGAAGTTGTCCCCAGCAAGGCCGTTGGATTCCAGGAACCTTGGAGAGAAGCAGAGGAGTGAGTGAGTGAGTGAGTGAGTGAGTGAGTGAGTGAGTGAGTGAGTGAGTGAGTGAGTGAGTGAGTGAGTGAGTGAGTGAGTGAGTGAGTGAGTGAGTGAGTGAGTGAGTGAGTGAGTGAGTGAGTGAGTGAGTGAGTGTGTGAGTGAGTGAGTGAGTGTGAGGAGAGTGAGTGTGAGTGAGTGAGTGAGTGAGTGTGAGTGAGTGAGTGAGTGAGTGAGTGAGTGAGTGTGTGAGTGTGTGTGTGTGTGTGTGTGTGTGTGTGTGTATGTGTATGTGTGTTTGGTTTTATGCCACATTTAGCAATATTCCAGCAATATCATGGCTTGGGGACACAAGAAATGGGCTTCACACATTGTACCCATGTGGGGAATCGAACCTTGGTCTTCAGCGTGATGAGCGAACGCTTTAACCACTAGGCTACCCCACCCCCCCAGCAGAGTTGTGGGTTACAATTAACAGTGCTGAACTTCACACTGTGATGCAGGTAGAGATTGACACCCAGGGACCAGAAAGTGTAACTCTTACATTGTGATAACCATAGTGCTGTCAATTAAAAGATTTTTTCATACAAGTATTCTTTTCCTTTGCACTCTTGGTGAATTTGGTAAAATAGCATGGAAACATGATGTTGTTGCAAAAGACCAGGCCCAGATTTCTCGAAACAAACTTTTTACTCAAATTTCAAACTGAGTTTGACAATTTGAAACGGCTGAATTTTTAACTCAACTGCATTTTTAAGATAAAAATGCCAAAAGAACTTAAGTAATCTATCCACCAAACTCAAATTGTCTAATATTGTTTCAGTGTAATATCGATTTCAGTTTATTCTTTGAAATGCATTTTCCTGCGTTTTCTCAAATTTGAGTAAAAACTCACCTAAGTCAAAACTCAGGCTTAAGTTTGTTTCAAGAAATTGGGGCCAGGATTTTGGCATAGAAAATATTCATATATTGTGGCTCAAGTGTGACAAATAGGATACAGATGTGTGTGATAAAATTCAGCCAGATCATACACTTTTACTAAGAAGAATATATACATCATCATTTTGTCTTTCAACAAATGATTCATATTTACAGTTTGGGGAATGGATCTGCAGATGCAGATATTGATGCATTCATATCCACTTATGACAACTAACTGATTTCCTAATTAGAATGTATTGTGTTACATCAGTGTGTTACGAGTAGACCTCACTACCAGTAGTGAAGCAACTTACATGTGTATGAGTTTAAGATATTGCTTGTAGGCTTCTGTTGCCCTGAACTGTTCCACCAGCGAGGACTTGCTGAGGATCACCCTCAGCTGCAGTGTGATAGCCTTGAGTTCAGTCTGCTTGATGAGCCCAATCTCCATGTTGCTCAGACCTAAGAACAAGGTCTGCAGGCATGTCGTCAGTTCCAGCACCTGCAGCCAACATGACTCTCCTCATACTCAACATATAAACCATGACTACACGTCACTCTCCTCATTATCAACATATAAACCATGACTACACGTCACTCTCTTCATACTCAACATATAAACCATGACTACACGTCACTCTCCTCATACTCAACATATAAACCATGACTACACGTCACTCTCCTCATACTCAACATATAAACCATACTACAACTCTCTTCATGACTACACCATGACTACATCGCCACTCTCTTCATTCTCAACATATAAACCATGACTACACGTCGTCTACACGCCACTCTCTCTCATACTCAACATATAAACCATGACTACACGTCACTCTCCTCATACTCAACATATAAACCATGACTACACGTCACTCTCCTCATTCAACATATAAACCATGACTACACAACATCACTCTCTTCATACTCAACATATAAACCATGACTACACAACATCACTCTCCTCATACTCAACATATAAACCATGACTACACGTCACTCTCCTCATACTCAACATATAAACCATGACTACACGTCACTCTCCTCATTATCAACATATAAACCATGACTACACGCCATCACTCTCCTCATTCTCAACATATAAACCATGACTACACGCGTCACTCTCCTCATACTCAACATATAAACCATGACTACACGTCACTCATTATCAACATATAAACTCACTCAACAACATAAACCATGACTATACACTACACATCACTCTCCTCATACTCAACATATAAACCATGACTACACAACATCACTCTCCTCATTCTCAACATATAAACCATGACTACACGTCACTCTCCTCATACTCAACATATAAACCATGACTACACAACATCACTCTCCTCATTCTCAACATATAAACCATGACTACACACACTCTCATCTCCTCATACTCAACATATAAACCATGACTACACGTCACTCTCTCATTCTCATACTCAACATATAAACCATGACTACACGCCTACTCTCTCTCATTCTCAACATATAAACCATGACTACACGCATCCACTCTCTCATACTCAACATATAAACCATGACTACACGTCACTCTCCTCATACTCAACATATAAACCATGACTACACAACGTCACTCTCCTCATTCTCAACATATAAACCATGACTACACGCCACTCTCTCATATCAACATATAAACCATGACTACACGCCACTCTCTCTCATACTCAACATATAAACCATGACTACATCGCCACTCTCCTCATATCTCAACATATAAACCATGACTACACGCATCACTCTCCCTCATACTCTCAACATATAAACCATGACTACACAACGCCACTCTCCTCATACTCAACATATAAACCATGACTACAACGCCACTCTCCTCATACTCAACATATAAACCATGACTACACGCCACTCTCCTCATTCTCAACATATAAACCATGACTACACGCCACTCTCCTCATACTCAACATATAAAACCATGACTACACACACATCACTCTCCTCATATACTCAACATATAAACCATGACTACACAACATCACTCTCCTCATTCTCAACATATAAACCATGACTACACGTCACTCTCCTCATACTCAACATATAAACCATGACTACACAACGTCACTCTCCTCATACTCAACATATAAACCATGACTACACAACGCTCCACTCTCCTCATACTCAACATATAAACCATGACTACACAACATCACTCTCCCTCATTCTCAACATATATAAACCATGACTACACGTCACTCTCTCTCATACTCAACATATAAACCATGACTACACAACGCCACTCTCCTCTCCTACTCAACATATAAACCATGACTACACAACGTCACTCTCCTCATACTCAACATATAAACCATGACTACACAACGTCACTCTCCTCATACTCAACATATAAACCATGACTACACAACATCACTCTCCTCATTCTCAACATATAAACCATGACTACACGTCACTCTCCTCATACTCAACATATAAACCATGACTACACAACGTCACTCTCCTCATACTCAACATATAAACCATGACTACACAACGTCACTCTCCTCATACTCAACATATAAACCATGACTACACGTCACTCTCCTCATTATCAACATATAAACCATGACTACACAACATCACTCTCCTCATACTCAACATATAAACCATGACTACATCGTCACTCTCCTCATACTCAACATATAAACCATGACTACACAACATCACTCTCCTCATTCTCAACATATAAACCATGACTACACGTCACTCTCCTCATACTCAACATATAAACCATGACTACACAACGTCACTCTCCTCATTATCAACATATAAACCATGACTACACAACATCACTCTCCTCATTCTCAACATATAAACCATGACTACACAACACTCTCTCCTCATACTCAACATATAAACCATGACTACACCGTCACTCTCCTCATTATCAACATATAAACCATGACTACACAACATCACTCTCCTCATTCTCAACATATAAACCATGACTACACGTCACTCTCCTCATACTCAACATATAAACCATGACTACACGTCACTCTCCTCATTATCAACATATAAACCATGACTACACAACATCACTCTCCTCATTCTCAACATATAAACCATGACTACACAACGTCACTCTCCTCATACTCAACATATAAACCATGACTACACGTCACTCTCCTCATTATCAACATATAAACCATGACTACACAACATCACTCTCTCCTCATTCTCAACATATAAACCATGACTACAACGTCACTCTCCTCATACTCAACATATAAACCATGACTACACAACGTCACTCTCCTCATACTCAACATATAAACCATGACTACACAACGTCACTCTCCTCATATCTCAACATATAAACCATGACTACACAACGTCACTCTCCTCATACTCAACATATAAACCATGACTACACAACGTCACTCTCCTCATACTCAACATATAAACCATGACTACACAACGTCACTCTCCTCATACTCAACATATAAACCATGACTACACAACGCCTACTCTCCTCATACTCAACATATAAACCATGACTACACAACGTCACTCTCCTCATACTCAACATATAAACCATGACTACACAACGTCACTCTCCTCATACTCAACATATAAACCATGACTACACAACGTCACTCTCCTCATACTCAACATATAAAACCATGACTACACAACGTCACTCTCCTCATACTCAACATATAAACCATGACTACACAACGTCACTCTCCTCATACTCAACATATAAACCATGACTACACAACGCCACTCTCCCTCATTCTCAACATATAAACCATGACTACACAACGCCACTCTCTCCTCATACTCAACATATAAACCATGACTACACAACGCTCACTCTCTCATATACTCAACATATAAACCATGACTACACAACGTCACTCTCCTCATACTCAACATATAAACCATGACTACACAACGTCACTCTCCTCATACTCAACATATAAACCATGACTACAACGTCACTCTCCTCATTCTCAACATATAAACCATGACTACACAACGTCACTCTCCTCATACTCAACATATAAACCATGACTACACAACGCCACTCTCATTCTCAACATATAAACCATGACTACACAACGCCACTCTCCTCATACTCAACATATAAACCATGACTACACGCCACTCTCCTCATATACTCAACATATAAACCATGACTACACATCACTCTCCCTCATTCTCAACATATAAACCATGACTACACGCCACTCTCCTCATACTCAACATATAAAACCATGACTACACGTCGCCACTCTCCTCATTCTCAACATATAAACCATGACTACACAACGTCACTCTCCTCATACTCAACATATAAACCATGACTACACGTCACTCTCCTCATTCTCAACATATAAACCATGACTACACAACGTCACTCTCCTCATACTCAACATATAAACCATGACTACACGCCACTCTCCTCATACTCAACATATAAACCATGACTACATCGCCACTCTCCTCATACTCAACATATAAAACCATGACTACACGCCACTCTCATCATACTCAACATATAAAAACCATGACTACACGCCACTCTCCTCATACTCAACATATAAAACCATGACTACACAACGCCACTCTCATACTCAACATATAAAACCATGACTACACGCCACTCTCCTCATTCTCAACATATAAACCATGACTACACAACGTCACTCTCCTCATACTCAACATATAAACCATGACTACACGTCACTCTCCTCATACTCAACATATAAACCATGACTACACGTCACTCTCCTCATTCTCAACATATAAACCATGACTACACGTCACTCTCCTCATACTCAACATATAAACCATGACTACACGTCACTCTCCTCATACTCAACATATAAACCATGACTACACGTCACTCTCCTCATACTCAACATATAAACCATGACTACACAACGTCACTCTCCTCATTCTCAACATATAAACCATGACTACACGTCACTCTCCTCATTCTCAACATATAAACCATGACTACACGTCACTCTCCTCATTCTCAACATATAAACCATGACTACACAACATCACTCTCTTCATACTCAACATATAAACCATGACTACACGTCACTCTCCTCATACTCAACATATAAACCATGACTACACAACATCACTCTCCTCATTCTCAACATATAAACCATGACTACACATCACTCTCCTCATTCTCAACATATAAAACCATGACTACACATGACTACACAAACTATCACTTCTCATCATACTCAACATATAAACCATGACTACACGTCACTCTCCTCATTCTCAACATATAAACCATGACTACACGTCACTCTCCTCATACTCAACATATAAACCATGACTACACGTCACTCTCCTCATTCTCAACATATAAACCATACACTACACGCCACTCTCCTCATACTCAACATATAAACCATGACTACACGCCACTCTCCTCATACTCAACATATAAACCATGACTACACGCCACTCTCCTCATTAACAACATATAAACCATGACTACACAACCACTCTCCTCATTCTCAACATATAAACCATGACTACACGCCACTCTCCTCTCATACTCAACATATAAACCATGACTACACGCACACTCTCCTCATTATCAACATATAAACCATGACTACACACTCTCACATATAAACTCACTCTCCTCATACTCAACATATAAACCATGACTACACAACGCCACTCTCCTCATACTCAACATATAAACCATGACTACACGCCACTCTCCTCATTCTCAACATATAAACCATGACTACATCGCCACTCTCCTCATACTCAACATATAAACCATGACTACACGCCACTCTCCTCATACTCAACATATAAACCATGACTACACAACGCCACTCCTCATTATCAACATATAAACCATGACTACACGCATCACTCTCCTCATACTCAACATATAAAACCATGACTACATCAACGCCACTCTCCTCATTATCAACATATAAACCATGACTACACGCTCTCTCTCATACTCAACATATAAACCATGACTATCTCTCATTCTCAACATATAAACCATGACTACACGTCATGACTCTCCTCATTCTCAACATATAAACCATGACTACACAACACTCTCCTCATACTCAACATATAAACCATGACTACACGCCACTCTCCTCTCATACTCAACATATAAACCATGACTACACGCCACTCTCCTCATTACTCAACATATAAACCATGACTACACGCGCTCTCCTCTCTCAACATATAAACTCATACTCAACATATAAACCATGACTACACAACGCACTCTCCTCATTCTCAACATATAAACCATGACTACACGTCCACTCTCCTCATACTCAACATATAAACCATGACTACACAACGCCACTCTCCTCATACTCAACATATAAACCATGACTACACAGCGTCACTCTCCTCATTATCAACATATAAACCATGACTACATCGCCACTCTCCTCATACTCAACATATAAACCATGACTACATACTCTCCTCATACTCAACATATAAACCATGACTACACGCCACTCTCTCCTCATACTCAACATATAAACCATGACTACACGCCACTCTCCTCATACTCAACATATAAACCATGACTACACACTCTCCTCATACTCAACATATATAAACCATGACTACACAACCACTCTCTCTCTCATACTCAACATATAAACCATGACTACACAACGTCACTCTCCTCATTCTCAACATATAAACCATGACTACACAACGTCACTCTCCTCATACTCAACATATAAACCATGACTACACGTCACTCTCCTCATACTCAACATATAAACCATGACTACAACGCCACTCTCTCTCATACTCAACATATAAACCATGACTACATCGCCACTCTCCTCATACTCAACATATAAACCATGACTACACGCCACTCTCCTCATACTCAACATATAAACCATGACTACACATATAAACCATGACTATACGTCACTCTCCTCATACTCAACATATAAACCATGACTACACGCGTCACTCTCCTCATACTCAACATATAAACCATGACTACACAACGTCACTCTCCTCATACTCAACATATAAACCATGACTACACGTCACTCTCCTCATTCTCAACATATAAACCATGACTACACGTCACTCTCCTCATACTCAACATATAAACCATGACTACACCGTCACTCTCCTCATACTCAACATATAAACCATGACTACACAACGTCACTCTCCTCATACTCAACATATAAACCATGACTACACAACGTCACTCTCCTCATACTCAACATATAAACCATGACTACAGGGCACCTGCAGCACAACACAACTCCCTCATACTCACATGTACTTAATATTTCACATAATGTACTACATTGGGGTTGTTTTAGAGTAGCTCACCTTATCTATAGGAGCCAAGATGTTATCAGATGCTGTCAGACTCCCCACACAGGACTGCATCTGTGACATTATCTGGAAGAGGGATAGTCAGCAATCAGGGTCAGCATATACCACACAACACACACATAACCTTGTTATTGTCAGTTTGTCATCAGGCAAGTGGTCATGTAATTAATTCTTACAAACCTGTAGAGGTTACTGATTCTTTGAAGAAAGTCCTATACATATAAGCATTAAAAATTCCATTTCAAAATCCTACGACAGTTGTAACAATATTTTTAATAAAATATTTAAAGAACAAAAAACTTGTTTTTGTCTTGTTCGGCCACCCCTACAGTGCCCCCAGGGGCCCCAACAATCAAGAGCAGTTAACTCTAGACGTCTATCTCGCACCTCACTTTTCATGCTGAATGTAATCAGATAGAATGTGGGGAGGTGGATGGCTGTACCCAAAGTACTACTGTCGTAGAATTTTAAAATGACGTTTTAATGGACTTTCTTCAAAGAATCAGTAACCTCTACAGGTTCTTTTTCAGAAGAAGTCCTCTTTGGAGTGCATATAAGCATAAGACAGACTCCCATAGATAGTGTGTCGGGGGCGGCATTCTGTCTGACAAACTAAACCCATCCTCAAGTAATTGCTTATTTTTACTCATTCCTGTAGAATTCTAACTGCAGAAATGAACCACCCCAAAACACGTCCTACTGGTAGAGTGAGTGAGTGAGTGAGTTTAGTTTTACACCACACTCAGCAATACTACAGCTATATGGCAGCAGTCTGTAAATAATCGAGTCTGGACCAGACCACTGGGATCAACAGCATGAGCATCGATATGTGCAATTGGGAACCGATGACATGGGTCAACCAAGCCAGCAAGCTTGACCACCTGATCCTGTTAGTGGCCTCTTACGACAAGCATGGGTTTCTGAAGGTTCATTCTCACTCGGACCTTCACGGGTTCCTACTGGTAGAACGACAGCATGAAAAGTGAGGTGCGAGGTAGACGGCTAGAGTTACCTGCTCTTGGCTGTTGGGGTCCCTTTAGGGCCCTGTAGGGGTGGCCGAACAACACAAACACAAGTTTTTTGTTTTGTAAATATTAGATTAAAAGTATAGTTACAACTGTCTTAGAATTTTAAAATGGACATTTAATGCTTATTTGTACCCCAAGGAGGACTTCCTCTGAAAGAGCATCAATCATTAAAACTACATCAATGATGATTTGTTCCAAGAGGGAGTTTATGCTGACTTGTAAATATGCACTGTTTATTAGACCACCAACTGAACATGCAGGAGAGGTAAAGAATGGTCATACCAAGTGTAGAGTGACAAGTTAGTGAAACTCAAGGCTGCAAGAATTTAACTGGTTAACAATCTACACATCTTGTATTTGGAAATACCCAGGATTCTTTTTCAGAGCATAAGAAAGAAAAGTATATATATAAAATATATTACGATATGACACTGCAATACTCTGAGATCTAGTAACTCGGCCTGCTGAGTGAAACATAATACACAGCCTTCGAACTGGTCAGAACATGACCAAGCCTTACATACAAACATTTCTGAATATATATCCAAGGATGGATGGACAGTGGCTCAGGATGCGTGAATGTCGTATGGGGCAGTACCTGGGTCATGACAAATGTCAAATGGGGCGTTGCCTGGGTCACGACAAAAGATGGACCCTTGGCAGAGGATGTGTGAATGTCGTAGGGGTGTTACCTGGGTCATGACAAATGTCGTATGGGGTGTTACCTGGGTCATGACAAATGTTGTATGGGGTGTTACCTGGATCATGACAAATGTCGTATGGGGCGTTACCTGGGTCTTGACAAATGTCGTATGGGGTGTTACCTTGGTCATGACAAATGTCATATGGGGGTGTTACCTGGGCCATGACAAATGTCATGACAAATGTCGTATGGAGCATATGTTGTACCTGGGTCATGACAAATGTCGTATGGAGCATTACCTGGTCATGACAAATGTCATATGGAGCATAACCTGGATCATGACAAATGTTGTATGGAGCATAACCTGGGTCATGACAAATGTGGAGCATATGGGCATTACCTGGGTCATGACAAATGTTGTATGGGGCATGTTACCTGGGTCATGACAAATGTTGTATGGGGTGTTACCTGGGTCATGACAAATGTTGTATGGGGTGTTACCTGGGTCATGACAAATGTTGTATGGGGTGTTACCTGGGTCATGACAAATGTTGTATGGGGTGTTACCTGGGTCATGACAAATGTTGTATGGGGTGTTACCTGGGTCATGACAAATGTTGTATGGGGTTATTACTTGGTCATGACAAATGTTGTATGGGGTGTTACCTGGGTCATGACAAATGTTGTATGGAGCCGTTACCTGGGTCATGACAAATGTTGTATGGGGTGTTACCTGGGTCATGACAAATGTTGTATGGGGTGTTACCTGGGTCATGACAAATGTTGTATGGGTGTGTTACCTGGGTCATGACAAATGTTGTATGGGTGTTACCTGGGTCATGACAAATGTTGTATGGGGTGTTACCTGGGTCATGACAAATGTTGTAGGGGTTACCTGGGTCATGACAAATGTTGCATGGGGGAGTTACCTGGAGTCATGACAAATGTTGTATGGGGGTGTTACCTGGGTCATGACAAATGTTGTATGGGGTGTTACCTGGGTCATGACAAATGTCATATGGAGCGTTACCTGGGTCATGACAAATGTCATATGGAGTGTTACCTGGATCATGACAAATGTCATATGGAGTGTTACCTGGATCATGACAAATGTCATATGGAGTGTTACCTGGATCATGACAAATGTTGTATGAAGCATTACCTGGGTCATGACAAATGTTGTATGGGGTGTTACCTGGGTCATGACAAATGTCATATGGAGCATTACCTGGGTCATGACAAATGTCGTATGGAGCATAACCTGGGTCATGACAAATGTCGATGGGGCGCTTACCTGGGTCATGACAAATGTTGTATGGGGTGTTACCTGGGTCATGACAAATGTTGTAGGGGGGGTTACCTGGGTCATGACAAATGTTGCATGGGGTGTTACCTGGGTCATGACAAATGTTGTATGGGGTGTTACCTGGGTCATGACAAATGTTGTATGGGGTGTTACCTGGGTCATGACAAATGTCATATGGAGCGTTACCTGGGTCATGACAAATGTCATATGGAGTGTTACCTGGATCATGACAAATGTTGTATGGGGTGTTACCTGGATCATGACAAATGTCATATGGAGTGTTACCTGGATCATGACAAATGTCGTATGGAGCATTACCTGGGTCATGACAAATGTTGTATGGGGTGTTACCTGGGTGATGACAAATGTCATATGGAGCATTACCTGGGTCATGACAAATGTCGTATGGAGCATAACCTGGGTCATGACAAATGTCGTATGGGGCGTTACCTGGGTCATGACAAATGTTGTATGGGGTGTTACCTGGGTCATGACAAATGTTGTATGGGGGTTACCTGGGTCATGACAAATGTTGTATGGGGTGTTACCTGGGTCATGACAAATGTTGTATGGGGTGTTACCTGAGTCATGACAAATGTTGTATGGGGCGTTACCTGGGTCATGACAAATGTTGTATGGGGTGTTACCTGGGTCATGACAAATGTTGTAGGGGTTACCTGGGTCATGACAAATGTTGCATGGGGCAGTTACCTGGGTCATGACAAATGTTGTATGGGGTGTTACCTGGGTCATGACAAATGTTGTATGGGGTGTTACCTGGGTCATGACAAATGTCATATGGAGCGCTTACCTGGTCATGACAAATGTCATATGGAGTGTTACCTGGATCATGACAAATGTCATATGGAGTGTTACCTGGATCATGACAAATGTCATATGGAGTGTTACCTGGATCATGACAAATGTTGTATGAAGCATTACCTGGGTCATGACAAATGTTGTATGGGGTGTTACCTGGGTCATGACAAATGTCATATGGAGCATTACCTGGGTCATGACAAATGTCGTATGGAGCATAACCTGGGTCATGACAAATGTCGTATGGGGCGTTACCTGGGTCATGACAAATGTTGTATGGGGTGTTACCTGGGTCATGACAAATGTTGTAGGGGGTTACCTGGGTCATGACAAATGTTGCATGGGGTGTTACCTGGGTCATGACAAATGTTGTATGGGGTGTTACCTGGGTCATGACAAATGTTGTATGGGGTGTTACCTGGGTCATGACAAATGTCATATGGAGCGTTACCTGGGTCATGACAAATGTCATATGGAGTGTTACCTGGATCATGACAAACGTTGTATGGGGTGTTACCTGGATCATGACAAATGTCATATGGAGTGTTACCTGGATCATGACAAATGTCGTATGGAGCATTACCTGGGTCATGACAAATGTTGTATGGGGTGTTACCTGGGTCATGACAAATGTCATATGGAGCATTACCTGGGTCATGACAAATGTCGTATGGAGCATAACCTGGGTCATGACAAATGTTGTATGGGGCGTTACCTGGGTCATGACAAATGTTGTATGGGGTGTTACCTGGGTCATGACAAATGTTGTAGGGGGTGTTACCTGGGTCATGACAAATGTTGTATGGGGCGTTACCTGGATCATGACAAATGTTGTATGGGGTGTTACCTGGGTCATGACAAATGTTGTATGGGGTGTTACCTGAGTCATGACAAATGTTGTATGGGGCGTTACCTGGGTCATGACAAATGTTGTATGGGGTGTTACCTGGGTCATGACAAATGTTGTAGGGGAGTTACCTGGGTCATGACAAATGTTGCATGGGCGCTTACCTGGGTCATGACAAATGTTGTATGGGGTGTTACCTGGGTCATGACAAATGTTGTATGGGGTGTTACCTGGGTCATGACAAATGTCATATGGAGCGTTACCTGGGTCATGACAAATGTCATATGGAGTGTTACCTGGATCATGACAAATGTTGTATGGGGTGTTACCTGGATCATGACAAATGTCATATGGACTGTTACCTGGATCATGACAAATGTCGTATGGAGCATTACCTGGGTCATGACAAATGTTGTATGGGGTGTTACCTGGATCATGACAAATGTCATATGGAGTGTTACCTGGATCAAGACAAATGTCGTATGGAGCATTACCTGGGTCATGACATATGTTGTATGGGGTGTTACCTGGGTCATGACAAATGTCATATGGAGCATTACCTGGGTCATGACAAATGTCGTATGGAGCATAACCTGGGTCATGACAAATGTCGTATGGGGTGTTACCTGGGTCATGACAAATGTTGTATGGGGTGTTACCTGGATCATGACAAATGTCGTATGGGGCGTTACCTGGGTCTTGACAAATGTCGTATGGGGTGTTACCTGGGTCATGACAAATGTCATATGGGGTGTTACCTGGGTCATGACAAATGTCATATGGAGCATTACCTGGGTCATGACAAATGTCATATGGAGCATAACCTGGGTCATGACAAATGTCGTATGGAGCATAACCTGGATCATGACAAATGTTGTATGGGGCGTTACCTGGGTCATGACAAATGTTGTATGGGGCATTACTTGGGTCATGACAAATGTTGTATGGGGTGTTACCTGGGTCATGACAAATGTTGTATGGAGCGCTACCTGGGTCATGACAAATGTTGTATGGGGTGTTACCTGGGTCATGACAAATGTTGTATGGGGTGTTACCTGGGTCATGACAAATGTTGTATGGGTGTTACCTGGGTCATGACAAATGTTGTATGGGGTGTTACCTGGGTCATGACAAATGTTGTATGGGGCATTACTTGGGTCATGACAAATGTTGTATGGGGTGTTACCTGGGTCATGACAAATGTTGTATGGAGCGTTACCTGGGTCATGACAAATGTTGTATGGGGTGTTACCTGGGTCATGACAAATGTTGTATGGGGTGTTACCTGGGTCATGACAAATGTTGTATGGGGTGTTACCTGGGTCATGACAAATGTTGTATGGGGTGTTACCTGGGTCATGACAAATGTTGTATGGGGTGTTACCTGGGTCATGACAAATGTTGTAGGGGGGGTTACCTGGGTCATGACAAATGTTGCATGGGGCGTTACCTGGGTCATGACAAATGTTGTATGGGGTGTTACCTGGGTCATGACAAATGTTGTATGGGGTGTTACCTGGGTCATGACAAATGTCATATGGAGCGTTACCTGGGTCATGACAAATGTCATATGGAGTGTTACCTGGATCATGACAAATGTCATATGGAGTGTTACCTGGATCATGACAAATGTCATATGGAGTGTTACCTGGATCATGACAAATGTTGTATGAAGCATTACCTGGGTCATGACAAATGTTGTATGGGGTGTTACCTGGGTCATGACAAATGTCATATGGAGCATTACCTGGGTCATGACAAATGTCGTATGGAGCATAACCTGGGTCATGACAAATGTCGTATGGGGCGTTACCTGGGTCATGACAAATGTTGCATGGGGTGTTACCTGGGTCATGACAAATGTTGTATGGGTGTTACCTGGGTCATGACAAATGTTGTATGGGGTGTTACCTGGGTCATGACAAATGTTGTATGGAGGTGTTACCTGGGTCATGACAAATGTCATATGGAGTGTTACCTGGGTCATGACAAATGTTGTATGGGGTGTTACCTGGGTCATGACAAATGTTGTATGGGGTGTTACCTGGGTCATGACAAATGTCATATGGAGCATTACCTGGGTCATGACAAATGTTGTATGGGGTGTTACCTGGGTCATGACAAATGTTGTATGGGGTGTTACCTGGGTCATGACAAATGTTGTATGGAGCGTTACCTGGGTCATGACAAATGTTGTATGGGTTTACCTGGGTCATGACAAATGTTGTATGGGGTGTTACCTGGGTCATGACAAATGTTGTATGGGGTGTTACCTGGGTCATGACAAATGTTGTATGGGGTGTTACCTGGGTCATGACAAATGTTGTATGGGGTGTTACCTGAGTCATGACAAATGTTGTATGGGCGTTACCTGGGTCATGACAAATGTTGTATGGGGTGTTACCTGGGTCATGACAAATGTTGTAGGGGGGGTTACCTGGGTCATGACAAATGTTGCATGGGGCGTTACCTGGGTCATGACAAATGTTGTATGGGGTGTTACCTGGGTCATGACAAATGTTGTATGGGGTGTTACCTGGGTCATGACAAATGTCATATGGAGCGTTACCTGGGTCATGACAAATGTCATATGGAGTGTTACCTGGATCATGACAAATGTCATATGGAGTGTTACCTGGATCATGACAAATGTCATATGGAGTGTTACCTGGATCATGACAAATGTTGTATGAAGCATTACCTGGGTCATGACAAATGTTGTATGGGTGTTACCTGGGTCATGACAAATGTCATATGGAGCATTACCTGGGTCATGACAAATGTCGTTATGGAGCATAACCTGGGTCATGACAAATGTCGTGATGGGGCGCTACCTGGGTCATGACAAATGTTGTATGGGGTGTTACCTGGGTCATGACAAATGTTGTAGGGGGGGTTACCTGGGTCATGACAAATGTTGCATGGGGTGTTACCTGGGTCATGACAAATGTTGTATGGGGTGTTACCTGGGTCATGACAAATGTTGTATGGGTGTTACCTGGGTCATGACAAATGTTGTATGGGCGTTACCTGGGTCATGACAAATGTTGTATGGGTGTTACCTGGGTCATGACAAATGTTGTATGGGGTGTTACCTGGGTCATGACAAATGTCATATAGAGTGTTACCTGGGTCATGACAAATGTTGCATGGGGCGTTACCTGGGTCATGACAAATGTTGTATGGGGTGTTACCTGGGTCATGACAAATGTCATATGGAGCATTACCTGGGTCATGACAAATGTCGTATGGAGCATAACCTGGGTCATGACAAATGTTGTATGGAAGTTACCTGGGTCATGACAAATGTTGTATGGGGTGTTACCTGGGTCATGACAAATGTTGTAGGGGGTTACCTGGGTCATGACAAATGTTGTATGGGGCGTTACCTGGATCATGACAAATGTTGTATGGGGTGTTACCTGGGTCATGACAAATGTTGTATGGGGTGTTACCTGAGTCATGACAAATGTTGTATGGGGCGTTACCTGGGTCATGACAAATGTTGTATGGGGTGTTACCTGGGTCATGACAAATGTTGTAGGGGGGGTTACCTGGGTCATGACAAATGTTGCATGGGGTGTTACCTGGGTCATGACAAATGTTGTATGGGGTGTTACCTGGGTCATGACAAATGTTGTATGGGGTGTTACCTGGGTCATGACAAATGTCATATGGAGCGTTACCTGGGTCATGACAAATGTCATATGGAGTGTTACCTGGATCATGACAAATGTTGTATGGGGTGTTACCTGGATCATGACAAATGTCATATGGACTGTTACCTGGATCATGACAAATGTCGTATGGAGCATTACCTGGGTCATGACAAATGTTGTATGGGGTGTTACCTGGATCATGACAAATGTCATATGGAGTGTTACCTGGATCAAGACAAATGTCGTATGGAGCATTACCTGGGTCATGACATATGTTGTATGGGGTGTTACCTGGGTCATGACAAATGTCATATGGAGCATTACCTGGGTCATGACAAATGTCGTATGGAGCATAACCTGGGTCATGACAAATGTCGTATGGGGTGTTACCTGGGTCATGACAAATGTTGTATGGGGTGTTACCTGGGTCATGACAAATGTCATATGGAGCGTTACCTGGGTCATGTCAAATGTCATATGGAGCGTTACCTGGATCATGACAAATGTCGTATGGGGTGTTACCTGGATCATGACAAATGTCATATGGGGTGTTACCTGGATCATGACAAATGTCATATGTGGTGTTAGCTGGGTCATGACAAATGATGTATGGGGTGTTACCTGGATCATGACAAATGTTGTATGGGGTGTTACCTGGGCCATGACAAATATTGCATGAGGCGTTACCTGAGTTATGATGAGCTGACTCTGTAGGAAGGTGCATGTACACTCAGCTGATGCTGAAACTCGCCCGTCAAGATCTTTCATCCTCTTCAGATCTCTAAGGATATAAAGCAGACACATTAACTTATATGGAAACATGCACCTTGTCACATCTAATTTTACATATCAGGTACACCAATTGTTTTGCAGAAAATGAAGGCTTATGTGTACCTGACAGAGGTGATGATTGCTTGTGTGTACCTGACAGAGGTGATGATTGCTTGTGTGTACCTGACAGAGGTGATGGTGACTTGTGTGTACCTGACAGAGGTGATGATTGCTTGTGTGTACCTGACAGAGGTGATGGTGGCTTGTGTGTACCTGACAGAGATGATGGTGGCTTGTGTGTATCTGACAGAGGTGATGGTGGCTTGTGTGTACCTGACAGAGGTGATGGTGGCTTGTGTGTACCTGACAGCAGTGATAGTGACTTCTGTGTACCTGACAGCACTGACGGTGACATGAATGGACCTGACAGAGGTGATGGTGCCTTGTGTGTACCTGACAGAGGTGATGGTGACTTGTGTGTACCTGACAGCAGTGATAGTGACTTCTGTGTACCTGACAGCACTGACGGTGACATGAATGGACCTGACAGAGGTGATGGTGCCTTGTGTGTACCTGACAGGTGACGAGGACTTGTGTTAAAACTGACCAAGTGCATCTGACTTTGTGTACCTGACAGAGGTGATGGTGGCTTCTGAGAATCTGACAGAGGTGATGGTGGCTTGTGTGTACCTGACAGAGGTGATGGTGACTTGTGAGTACCTGACAGAGGTGATGGTGACTTGTGTGTACCTGACAGAGGTGATGGTGACTTGTGTGTACCTGACATCAGTGATGGTGAGTTGTGTGTACCTGACAGGTGACGAGGACTTGTGTTAAAACTGACCACGTGCATCTGACTTTGTGTACCTGACTGTTGTTGAGAGAAGCTGTGAGGCTGTGTCATTGTCCAGTGCAGCCAGGCTGGACAGTCTTCCCAAACACTCTGTACGGAAGGGAGCAGTGCTCACATCAGTCTCCACTATTCTAGCTGTCACATCACCAGTTTCAAGTCTTTCTATACCCTGCAAATATATCAATCTGCTGTCAGTAGCCATAAAACACCAACGTAACAACTTGTAACATCCTCCATCATGTTGGACAAATTCAGCACCATTATTGAACATAATCCGGCACTGAACCAGCAGCGCTGCAAGGAGTTTACCAATGTAACTACCAACTCTCCTCAACAACAAGTATTATTGTGAATGTAACATACCGCCAGGATGGGCACCAGGTGGGGCTGGCTGTCACGCAGGTAGGTGTAGTGTCTCAGTGTGTGGCCTTGCAGCAGGGGAATCAGTGTGGGACAGTCCACACAGGCATTGAACATCAGCACCAGGATAGCAATATCTACTGGCATCAAGGAGAATGTGTTCATGAAAGCCTCCAGGCCAAGCATAGGGTGTCACAATATACTCAAGAGAGTATCAATGTCAACAAGCCATTAGACGTCTAGACGCTGGTCAACGTGCTTGAGTCATTGCTAATGACTTCAATTTCAGCGTACGAACGATAGAACGTCTTATACAGCGTACAACGCCAAAAACAGCACTGATGACTGTCCATGTAGTGGTCGACCCCGTGTAACAACACATCGCCAGGAACGTCCATCAACACCTCTCGTTAACCTAGCCATAGCTACTGTGTTCAGAAAACAAGTGAACGATTGCCATTCAAGCCCTCAAATTATGCCTGAATGCATGCATGATGCATGTGCATGTGCAAAATCTTTCCTTTCCACAAACAAAAACATTTCTAACCTCAGTCTCAAACAATACTTTATTTGGCAAAAAGGGCTATACGACCACTATTCATGTTCTTCTCAAACTTGAACACCAGTGTATATTTAAAAAAAAAAAAAGGTTCAAATACTCCATTGATACTTAAATGTCATTTCCAATAATACGTTTCTTTTGCCTTTCAGTATATATGTGGAAGAAGTGTGCACCATACATAAAACAATGTGGCAGAAAATTATTCCACAGTACCCTTTAATTTTTATTGTATCAAATAAGATTGACAGCAAAAGAAATGGCTGCAAAGCAATATATGTAATATTTCCGTGTATCCTGATAGTATATATTGGATAACACAAAGATTCAATGAATAAAGCATACAACTTTACAGATAACAATTTCTTGTTTATTGCAAACAGCAGCGCTTTGATGTAGATTCTTACACCGTATTGAAGCTTTCAGCTATTTGCTTGAAAACGGTGTAAGAATCTACACCGAAACGTTCTATGCAGTATAAAGTTGTATGCTTCATTATTGACTCTCCAACTACTAGAATGCCGACCAAACAATAATATGCAAAGGCGTTAGATTCAGTACAAAGTCTTGGTATTCCTGGTTGAAGAGTTACCAAGCTGATTTTAATTGGGTTAAAGGAAACTAATTTATCAGCATTTTATTCACGGACCACATGTATGTCGAGCAACAATTTCTCAGGTTGACTGTCCACATCTAGCTGTTACATACTATATTTGACACACCAGAAAAAAATGGCATGAACTATTTTTCCAAATTCCATTTCCTGAGAGGCACCTTTTCATATTTTTAAGCTAGTGAAATGCAAATCTGGGTACACTTGTACATGTATCACATATGGAGTATTCATTGTGTTAAGAAAGCTGACATGTCAGATGAAGGATACAAGCTGGGTCATCCATGTCAGGAACCGGGGTGTTGAAGTAGGGGTGAATACACAGCAGTTCCCGAGCCTGGGTCAGGCACAGCTGGGGGTGGTTTTTCCCCAGAAACATGGAGCACCTGTAACATACCCAAGACACATATACCGCAATTCTCCAGAAGGATGAAGTATTACTCAACATACAATTCATTGCACAATGTGTACAGCACATTGGGTCAGTGTACTATCTGTACAGCACATTGGTTCCGTGTACTATCTGTACAGCACATTGGTTCAGTGTACTATCTGTACAGCACATTGGTTCCGTGTACTATCTGTACAGCACATTGGTTCAGTGTACTATCTGTACAGCACATTGGTTCCGTGTACTATCTGTACAGCACATTGGTTCAGTGTACTATCTGTACAGCACATTGGTTCAGTGTACTATCTGTACAGCACATTGGTTCAGTGTACTATCTGTACAGGACATTGGTTCAGTGTACTATGTGTACAGCACATTAGTTCAGTGTACTATCTGTACAGCACATTGGTTCAGTGTACTATCTGTACAGCACATTGGTTCAGTATACAATGTGTACAGCACATTGGTTCAGTGTACTATCTGTACAGCACATTGGTTCAGTATACAATGTGTACAGCACATTGGTTCAGTGTACTATCTGTACAGCACATTGGTTCAGTGTACTATCTGTACAGCACATTGGTTCAGTATACAATGTGTACAGCACATTGGTTCAGTATACAATGTGTACAGCACATTGGTTCAGTGTACTACCTGTACAGCACATTGGTTCAGTGTACTATCTGTACAGCACATTGGGTCAGTGTACTATCTGTACAGCACATTGGTTCAGTGTACTATCTGTACAGCACATTGGTTCAGTGTACTATCTGTACAGCACATTGGGTCAGTGTACTATCTGTACAGCACATTGGTTTAGTGTACTATCTGTACAGCACAATGCTTCAGTGTACAACTTCTACAGCACATTACTTCAGTGTACAATGTCAGTACAGTACAAAGGTTTAGTGTACTACATGAACAATATGATTTGGTTTGTTGTACTTACTTCCAGACTGAGGTCCTGTCCTGCGGGTATCTGCGAAGGTTGTCTAACAGAGCCAGCACCGTGTCATTCAGACACTCTTTGTTAGACAGACGCATGTCACACAGCATATCTCGCAGGTCTGTACGAGTTGCTCCAGAAAAATCCTGAGAATAGAAAGTTCAGTAGCACTTACCAGTTAAGTTCGTTTGTTTGTTTATGCAGCACTCAGCAATATTCCATGCAAATTGGATACGATGACATGCACCAACCATGCTACCAAACTTGACCACCTGAATCTGTGAACCGACCTACACGACAGACCTGTGAACCCATCTACATGATAGATCTGGGAACTAAACTACATGACACATCTGGGAACCCACCTACATGACACATCTGTGAACCCACCTACATGACAGATCTGTGAACCACACTACATGACAGATCTGTGAACTCAACTACATGACATATGTGTAAACCAAACTACATGACATGTGTAAACCAACCTACATGACATATGTATAAACCAAACTACATGACATGTGTAAACCAACCTACATGACATATGTGTAAACCAACCTACATGACATATGTGTAAACCAAACTACATGACATGTGCAAACCAACCTACATGACATATGTGTAAACCAAACTACATGACATATGTGTGAACCTACCTATATGACAGATCAGTGAACCCACCTACATGACAGATCTGTGTACCCACCTACATGACAGATCTGTGAACCCACCTACATGATAGAATGGTGAACCCACATACATGACAGATCTGTGTACTAAACTACATGACATATGTGTGAACCCACCTACATGACACATCTGTGAACCCACCTACATGACACATCTGTGAACCCACCTACATGACACATCTGTGAACCCACCTACATGACACATCTGTGAACCCAGCAGGAAGCAGGAAGCAGGATGCATATACATACTGACAACGTTTCCAAAGGTAAATGACATCATGGGACAAATAAAACATAAAATATAAAATTTTGTTGTTTGTCTTTTGTAAAATATATTTCATAATATAAACGTTAAATTAAATTTAATCAGATATTTTGATCACAACTATTAACTTACTTTGTTATCGATCGATAAATTTGGGCCACGTGACACGACTTGAAAGAAAGTTTCACGTAAAGTAAACTTTGTATTCTGTGGCAGTTTTGTGTGATGGTTTTCAAAAATACTGTTAATAATTTAATAAATACTACAGATGATATTAATCAAGAAATTACATCGAAGTCAAATATCTGTGTCATTTGATCAGTCTCGGTTGTACAGTAGCGTTCGCTCAATGCATCCCACACAATGCGTGTTCCCAACTGAACAGTTTTTGATACAGGAATATCATTTTGAAGCACATTTACACAAATATTTACACATCATAATTTCCGCATCAAACATATTTGAATCTAGTAACATTTATATTATGTGTTTTCAATGATAGTTAGTCTTTACACATACGCTGACTTTTTAAACAAAGTTGAAAAACATTTCACACAAACGCAACCTTTCTTGGTTTTGTAAGGCTTCTGTTGATTGGCTTTTCATTTTATCATTAGCGAATCAGAAATAAGCTCTCAAAATATACAAGTTTCAGGTATTGAACATGCTTGAACATGCCTTTTACAAAAGATAAACATGTGTTTACGTTTGTCATGTTACAGTGTTGAAAAGTCACGACGTTGATCTACCCAATACCAATACATACGGGGAAAGGGGTCGACTTATATTTGAGTTACATGGTTTTGGCAAGAATTTAGAGGGTTGAGAAAGGGGCCCGACTTACAGTGAGATCCGACTTATAGTCGGTCATATACGGTACCTACATGATAGATCTGTGAACCTACCTACATGACACATCTGTGAACCCACCTACATGATAGATCTGTGAACCAACCAACATGGCAGATCTGTGAACCCACCTACATGACAGATCTGTGAACCTACCTACATGATAGATCCTTGAACCCACCAACATGACAGATCTGTGAACCCACCTACATGATAGATCTGTGAACCTACCTACATGACAGATCTGTGAACTAAACTACATGACACATCTGTGAACCTACCTACATGACAGATATGTGAACTATCTACACGACATATGTGTGAACCCACTTACATGACAGATCTGTGAACCCACCTACATGATAGATCTGTGAACCCACCTACATTACACGTGTGAACCCACCTACATGATACATCTGTGAACCCACCTACATGACAGATCTGTGAACTAAACTACATGACACATCTGTGAACCTACCTACATGATAGATCTGTGAACCCACCTACATTACACATGTGTGAACCCACCTACATGATAGATCTGTGAACCACCTACATGACAGATCTGTGAACCCACTTACATGACATATGTGTGAACCCACCTACATGACAGATCTGTGAACCCACCTACATGATAGATCTGTGAACCCACCTACATGACAGATTCAGAACCCACCTCTGTGAACACCTACATGATAGATCTGTGAACCCACCTTCATGACAGATCTGTGAACCCACCTACATGATAGATCTGTGAACCCACCTACATGACAGATCTGTGAACCCACCTACATGACAGATCTGTGAACCTACCTACATGACAGATCTACGAACTAAACTACATGAGAGATCTGTGAACCCACCTACATGATAGATCTGTGAACCTACCTACTTGACAGATCTGTGAACCTACCTACATTACACATGTGTGAACCCACCTACATGACAGATATGTGAACTAACTACATGACATATGTGTGAACCCACCTACATGACAGATCTGTGAACCCACCTCCATGACAGATCTGTGAACCCACCTACATGACAAATCTGTGAACCCACCTACATGACAGATCTGTGAACTTAACTACATGACATATGTGTGAATCAAACTACATGCAAATGTGTGAACCTACCTACTTGACACATCTGTGAACCCACCTACATGACAGATTTAGGAACCCACCCACATGACAGATCTGTGAACCCACCTACATGATAGATCTATGAACTCAACTACATCACAGATCTGTGAACCAAACCACATGACAGCTCTTTGAACCTACCTGCAATACACCAAGGATGATCTCCAACTGGTCTTGTCGGAGCACAATGTGGTGTGAGATTTTCCTCAAACTGTTAATGGCATTCAGACGCACACTCTCGATCTCATCGTTGAACATGTCGATGATGCTATCCTGCGATAGGTTGGCAAACACTCTGGACTGAGCTGCCAGTTCACACAGCGAGTCTAGAGCTGCATTACGCACCTCTACAACACATATGGTTGAAACTATTTCCACGTCGTGATAATGAAATTTTTATGATAAAATTAATATTTTATACTTATCCTGACTCCTGCTTATTTGCTTTCTCATCCTCTCTTTTGAACAGTCAAGTAGAAACTTGAATCCCTTCAATTCCCTTAGAGCGAACATACAATCACTCACCCTGAATTACCTCCCTTTTCCCGCCAAAACTGGCACGTGACCTGCCATGCCTTGCTCCTCACTCTCTCCGATATAAGCCCTACGCAGGTTTACAGGGAAACCCATGTGGTGAGAGGGGACGGTTGGGAGGGCTTCATCTCATGAGTCAGGATATGTATAAAATTATTTGCTTACTGAATCCGACGGAATCGGTGGTGGGTCAACCACCTAACGGGATTCCCTGTATGATTGTATTCACGTCAGCGTTCGCTTGATATATATACCCCCTGGGAATTTTCTTCTTCTGTGGCTAACTTCAATATTGCTTGATGCTTGTCGGGGGACCACCTTCTTATACATTCGTATTAGAAGTAAACTTCTTAAGTTTTGTGGATTTAGTATACTAGAAACCTGGTTGTTTAGATATCTGCAACGACCCAATATGTTACGGTAAGAATTTTACCGAAACTGGAATCGCGACCCATCTGTTAAGGCAAGAACATTACTATAACTGAGTCTATGTAGCACTCAGGCGCTGACTTATCTCGAAAGTCAGGGGAACATGGACTCTCAGCCGGTGGCAATGGACAGTTGCCTGGCGTCAACGAATCTGCGTGACAAGGGTGAGTTTCTTCAACATCTGGCCGGTATAGTGAGTTGTTGCGCTATGACTAGAGGGCCGAACTGGTGTATCCCTGATACGTCTTCTGTGGAGATGTCTCTCAGGTAGTGATTAGCGAAGACAGTGTCTGACTTCCAAAAGCAGCCTTCCATTACAGATGATATAGAGCAGTTTCCATGTAGGGCGAGTGTCGAGGCCAAAGCTCTAACTTCATGTGGGTTTGATGCTCTTGGAGGCTCTAACCCTGCTGCTTTATAGGCTCTTAGGATCACTGCTCTGATCCAGAAGGAGATTGTTGTACGGGATACTCCTACAGTCGTAGCGGTTGATAGCGGGATGAATAGACGCTTGAACTTCCTTCTTCTCGTGGCAGATTTCTGCAAGTAGATTCTCAGCGCTCTGACCGGGCATAAAGACAAATCTTGAGTGACTTCTGGACCCAGGATTGTTGATAATGCCGGAACGTAGAACTGATGATCTGGTTGTCCTGGTAGCTGGTTCTTGGCTATAAAGGCTATCTAAGGCCTAGATGGACTGCTTCCCTTCTTCCCATGTCGAATCTCGAACGGCTGAAGTCAAGGGCGTGTATTTCTGACATCCGAGCAGCAGTAGCCAAGGCGAAATATCGTCTTTTGAGTTAATAACTCAAATGTCTTCTGCGTTAGCCATTTGTATACATCACTGATGAAGTGCTGCAACACTTTCCAACTTGAAAGATCTCAGCAGGGCCACTAGTTCAGGCACCTTGGTCAACTTCACCCCTGTCTTCATGGTGATGACCGAGCTGATTGCCGCAAGGTATGTAGACAGCGTAGAGCCCTTCAGATGTCTACTGAACCTCAGATGACACAAGTAGTCTCCTACTTGTGGATGTGTCGCCTTTCTGGCCGTGAACCCCTGTTGAACAGCATACTGGTCAAAACTTCTCCACTTGTCATCATACAGGTTACGTGTAGATCTTCGTAGAGCCAAGGTCACAGCCTTGGCTGCTCTAGTGGAGTAACCTCGATTCTTCAAGCAGTACGTAATCTGCTCCATACGTGTAACTGGAACGCTTTTGGGTTGCCGTGACACTGCTTGGTGTGAGGATGGACGAGTAGGTTCGGCAAATCTGGTAATCATAGAACTGGTTAGCCGTATAGATCTATGAGGTCTGGGAACCATAGTCTCGCTGGCCAATAAGGCGCTACCAAAATCAGTTGTAGCACCCTCATCTGGTTGACCTTGCGTAATACTTGAGGTAGCTGGATCGGTGGAGGGAAGGCGTAAGCAAGGATACAAGGATATGGCTAAGGTGTCGACAGCCCATGCCAGTGGGTCTGGCACTGGCGAGACGAATGTCTGGTTGAAACGGGTTGCAAACAGGTCGATGAGGGGACGGCCTAGTTGAGTTGTCACCCACTGGAACGCTCCTGGATGTAACTTCCACTCTGTGGGAAGATGGCCGTACTGGTCTGGATAGGGCGTCGGCTAGGACGTTCTTTGCCCCTGGGATGTGGCAAGCCCTCACCTCCTCCTTTTGATTTTGTCTGCGATGTTGAACAGCTGGAACGTCAGTTGAAGCAACGGCGCGCTGATCTCATGGACCCTTGCAGATTTATGTAAAAGGCCACCGCGGAGTTGTCCGTGTGTATCATCAGGACCTGATCTTCTAACTGCGCCGCCCAATATAGAACTGCTTCTACTACTGCTTTCAGTTCTAGCTGGTTGATGTACAGACTCTTCTCTGTTTGTGACCACTGCCCTGCTGCAACCTCGTCGTTGAGATGTGCCCCCCAGCCTTGGAGGGACGCATCCACGTAGAGATGAAGATCGTAATATGGCTCTCTCAAATAGGTTCCGCCACAAATATTCGATCTTACTGTCCACCAAAGCAGGTACTGCTTTAGACATTGTCTAGAGGAGCTATCAGGAACCTCTGTAGCGGTCGAAGTTGCAATCTTCCTCTACGTGTGAGACCCTGCGCTGACGTCAGTAGACCCAAGAGTCGCTGCCACGTTCTTAAGTCTAGTGGAGAGTTGAGGGCGTCTGATATGCACGACTGGATGCTCTGCCATCGGTCGTCTGGTACCAGGATGCGGTTCTCTAATGTCAGGAATCTGATGCCCAGGAACTGTAGATCTTGGGTCGGCTCCAGCTCCGACTTCTAATGATTCACCAGCCAGCCCAACTGTGTCAGCAGGTTGATCGTAAACTGCAGCTGTAGTCTGAATTGATCTGCATCTTGATGTGCCTGGATGCAGAAGGTAGGAGGAGGTAGAAGGCACTGTGTAGCCCCTTCTGATGGAGATAAGTGACAATCGGTTTGGTTATTCGTGTAAATAACCACAGGGCCGAGGAAATTTATTTAATGATTTAAAATGGACATTTTAATGCTTAAATGTACCCCAAGGAGGACTTTCTTCAAAGAATTCATAACCTCTACAGGTTTGTATAATTCTTTTTCAGAAGAAGTCCTCCTTGGGGTACATATAAGCATAAGACAGACTCCCAAAGATATTTATGACAGGAGTGGCATTCTGTCTGGCAACAACTAAACTCGTGGTGGAGTGAAATCTACAACTGATACGGAAATAGAAAAAACACACTTACCAAGCCACCTGACCGCTGATGTCAATCAGGCGGGGCCGTGGCTAGGGCGGGAAATAGAGAGCCCAAGCTTATACGTCAATTGGCTCAAATGAATTATGACATTAAACCCCACCCCAACCATTACAATGGAAAGGAATGTATGGGGACATGCCAAAACAACTCCCAACTCTAATATAGCCCAAACCAGCAAAGTGTGGCGAGAGGTATAAGGGTAGGGAAAGCGTAAAAAATGCTTGAAAGCCAATAACCCAGGAGTCAAGCTAATAAGTACTGTAAACTAATGCTCGAATGCACCCCTCCTGTTTGGAAGAGGGCTTGCCGGGACCTCAATAAAACCCAGACAAATTATTAGCCTCGCTAAAAACGTTCTGAGAAAAACGCCATGCATGGTACGAGTGAAAAGCAGGATAAAACACCCCAACCAAACGCTCTCGGCGTGAGGAGGGTAAGTGTAAACCACAATCACCCAAAGTACTGATTAACACAGACTCCCAATTACTGAAGTCTCCGGGAAGAGGGAAAAAACTGTTAGCTTACAAAAATCCCCTGAATAGCGAAAAGCGTAGCCGAACATGTGTTGGCTCACTATTACACTAACCTGGTCATGTGACATGCGGCTCAAAGAGAGGCATACCAAACAGTGACCCGTAGGGGGTTCGTACCCAATTCCGTCGTAAGACGGGTTAATAGCATGTGAGGACGTTGAGGACCTCTGCATTCGTAATGGGACGCTGCTGCGGGATGACTGCAACTGACTCGTCTGTCGACCGCTGATGACGTTGCGTTTTCAAACGCCAAAGGGTTCTCAGCTGACGTCTGCTTCTGCTGCAACTGCTGCGGTAGACTGCCAACAGGAAGATGTAACATCTTTGACGATCTCACAGCATCACTGCCAGGGAAAGACTGCGATGATAACATAGGCGACATCATACTTCTAATCTGCGCTGACAAGTTCTCAGCACTGGATACTCTCTGCGACGCTGCAAGGAAGACCTCAGGCTGCAACACTGGAGGTCCCAAAGGACTGGAACCATCTACTTCATCACCAGGCGCCCCAACATCTGTTGAAGGTCGTTGCATAGGGTTATGCAACGATGACCTTGAAGAATCTTGTTGAGTGGGAAGATCTAGATGAATGCCTGGATGATGTGGACTGCTTCCCTGAAGAGGCCATCTGGTGTTTCTTATGTTGCGCCGTCTCTGCCTGTGGGGACTTCCTTTTACTTAGACTTCTCCCCTACAGGTGACGTCGCAGACTTCAACTGGGATGACATCGTAGATCAGCACAGCTCTCAAGACATAGTCGCAGCAACTCACAGCACTCAAGACTGTATCACCTTCTCACGAAGGCTGGTTGAATCTGACAACAGGTTCTATAACTTTAGGCTCAAATTTTTCAATCACATGTGAAAATTTTTATAAGTCAGATATTTCACAATTCAACAGATATATGAAGTCATAAATTCAATATATACACATGATTATACACAATAATCAAACATCAAGTCATATTCAACCTGTAAACTAGCTAAGAAGAACAACCAGGGTGTAAATCAAGCGTTGAGACGTGATGGACTGTTGTTTACATTGAAAACATGTGAACAAACAGTCACCTGGAACGAAGTGAAATTGTGAATTAATTTGACATCCAATGTACAAATTTCGTTAAAAATATGATAAACAACATATTTAGAAACACAATCACGGCAGAATTTGTGCTATATATCCAAAATATTTGAAGTTATAAGCCGTGAAGGGACCCTGAAGTGACCACCCAACCGTCCAATTGGGCGATAGAGGAGAGAGTGAGGAGCAAGGCATGGCAGGTCACGTGCCAGTTTTGGCGGGAAAAGGGAGGTAATTCAGGGTGAGTGATTGCACGTTCGCTTCAAGGGAATTGAAGGGATTCAAGTGTCCACTTGACCGTTCGGAAGAGAGGATGAGAAAGCAAATAAGCATGAGTCAGGATAAGGAAACATTATACATTTTCTACTTCTATATTGCAGCAAGTAAAGAATTACGGCATATGTGATAAAACACTGTTAAAAATCCTACCATCATGGTGACAAGGCCAGTATTGTTGTTTTCAAGTTTTCACATGCATCAGTATAATCCTTCCTATGAAATGACACAAGCATGTTTCAACATCAAGTGTCCTACACCAGGTACCACAACAAACCTAACCAGATGACATTAACCAGCAAGCTGGAAGTTCTCATAGCAACATGTCACAAATGAACAAAGTACTCTTCTTCGGCTAAATGTTGCCACAAATCTTCATAGTATTCATTCCTTGCACCAGAGACCATATAATAGAGGGACGGCCCTCTAGCCAGTGCGCAAAACCATCAGCGCTACGGCTTGTACTGCGCAGCCTATCCGGAAGCTGGCAAAATGTGTGTTAACTTCAGTCATCGATTTCGCGTATTTTCATTGCAAAGGTAAGATTTGATTTTTTTCATGTATATACTTACATTTGCAACAGTGCATTAGAGGTGTATTAGGGGTGCTAAAGCATATATTTGTCTTTGTATTTGATGAATACTGTCATGTGTGCTTGTCGTTCTGTGAGAACAATGGCGGAGGTGTAAAATCGTCGAAAGTCCCGATTTTGATTTTCAATAACGGATACTAATTCTCAATACAAATCCTTAGTTACCGGGGTGTAATGAAAGAAAATAAGATAAAGATTGGTATAGGGGCATTTATAAGTCTGTGGCGGTCTTGCATTGCTTATTTTGGCTCTTGCAATGCGACGAAAAATATGATGTTTTCCGAAATATTTACTCCATAACACTTGATTTTCGCACGCTTTCACAAGAACAGCTTATTACTAGCATGTTTGAAATAAACATGTGAACATTCACGGCGATTTCCTCTTTTGCCTGGTACACTTTTTATATGTCTACGATCGGTATTTTATTTTTTATGATTTTTGGCGTAAACCCATATTTGCGTCGTATACTGAACATTTCAATTATCATGTAGCAGATGACATAACATTCATTTTGTTCGTTAATATAACGCGAATATATATTTAAATCATTCTACAAAAGTCTCATTCACCTAATCGTTTGAAAAAAAAGTACATATTTCCATTATTGTTCATTTTGATGATTATATTTGTGGAAAAGGTCCTTATTTATCATGTAACAATTCATATATTATTCTGTTATCATTATTCTTCCTACTGAAGTTATGAGTTATATTGCTATATATTATTATATTATTATATAGTACCAGCAGCCTGACTTTATGCAACAATGAATCAACATTTTATTTATATCATTACACTATTTATATAATAAATTATCATTTGTTTGGCAGATGCCCAGGAAAATGAAATTTTTAGAGTAAAATTAATATTTTATACTTATCCTGACTCATGCTTATTGCTTGTCTTCTTCTTCTTGCGAACATAGTGGAACACGTGTATCTCCCAATTGAAGTTCCCTTCAATTAAAAAATCACTAATTAGTACTCACCACGAGTTACCTCCCTTCCACAAGCGCGGGAACGAGGACGCCACCTGAACCCATGTGCCTCACTCTCTCCTTTTGTTTCGAGCCCGACACTTTATTTTTCCGAAGAAATCCAAAGTGTTAAGTGGGGAGGACGGGAGGGCTTACCTCATGAGTCAGGATAAGTATAAAATATTAATTTTACTCTAAAAATTTCATATTTTTCCTTATCCTGACTCATGCTTATTGCTGTAGAATCCGGCGGAAAAGGAGGTGGGAATATATATACTTTGGATTTTAATAATTAGTGATTTGAACTGTGATGATTGTAATAACCCTATGGGAACTTCATAAAGGCACTGAACTGATGAATTCCTGCTGTTTAACTTATCAGCTGCCATATAAAGGTTATTACAATTTATAGAATATGATAAAAGTATATACAACATTAATGTAAGCTGAAGCTATTAATGTGATAATATAAACTTCTGTGAGTTTATAGTGGATACTTTTATAAATTAACCAAAGTATTAAGCTTAAGATATGCATATATTTAAGCTATAATAGTATAGTATTGTGCTTAAGATATAATTATAACTTAAGCTGTATAATAGCAACCAACTCCTTAGAGTTTGTTAGCTAATACATTTATGCATATGACCATATGACTGAGCTTAAGGATTGATGAAACTTAAGCTGAACACATATATATAGTAGCAAAACTCCTAGGAGTTGTAAGCTTATATATAGTATGATATAAAAACCATAGTACTGAGCTTAAGATAATAAATTAAACTTAAGCAAAATATATAGATAGCATGTAGCTATTAGTACTGTTATCAGATAAGTATAAAATCTGTAAGATAGACTTATCTTCTCCGTGGAACTGTCAACTGTTGAGCGAGGACCATGGGGCCGAAATGGTGGATACCTGAGACGTCCTCGGTGGTGATATCTCTCAGATAGTGGTTGGCAAACACCATATCGGATCTCCAGAAACATCCCTCCATTATGGTATTCAACGAGCAATTCCCATGTAGAGCGAGAGTTGAGGCTAGCGCTCTAATTTCGTGAGGATTAGAAGCTCTTGGAGGGTCGAGTCCTGCAGCCTTGTAGGCACGTAGTATGACAGTTCTGATCCAGATAGAGATCGTAGTACATGAGACTTCCGTCTGCGTGGCTGTAGATATAGGGATAAATAATCTCTTGAATTTCCCTCTGCTCTGTTTGGATCGCTGGAGATATATTTTCAGTGCCCTCACTGGGCATAGTGATAGATCCATCGTATCATGCGGTCCAAGTATGGATGAGAGAGCTGGGACGTGGAATAATCTGTCTGGTTGACCTGGCTATACCTTTTCGCTATAAAATCCCAGCGAAGTCCCAGATGAGCGATGTTATGAATATCATCAAAGCGTATTCTCTCGTAATCCAAAGCGTGAATCTCTGACATCCTGGCAGCCGTAGCTAGTGCTAACAGGAATAAGGTTTTGTGGGTCAGTGATTCAAACGATGTAGATAGCAATGGTTCATAAGCCTCACTAGTGAGGTGTTGGAGCACTATATTTAGATCCCAGGCTGGAGCGTGAAACTTCCGTTTCTGATCCTCCAATCGGAACGCTCGTAACAAAGCGAGTAACTCTGGTGTTTTTGTTAACTTGACGCCCGTTCGCATAGTTATGACAGAACTTATGGCTGCAAGATAAGTGGACAAGATTGAGCCTTTTAGATTCTTAGTTTGCCGTAGATAACATAAGAAATCTGCCACTTGAGGATGTGTAGCATATCTGGCTGTAAATCCTTTCTTAGCAGCTTAATTGACAAAACTGTGCCATTTGTCATCGTACAAGTTACGAGTTGAGTTACGTAGTGCAAGCGTGACCGCTTTAGCCGCTCTGGCAGAATAACCTCTCTTATTCAGACATGCCTTGATACAATCCATAATGCGAAGTTGGAATGCTTCTGGTGTTTCGTGCACTTGTTTTGTGTGCGGATGTATCAATAGATTGGCGCGTTGTGGGAGCTGAAGAATTGGTTTTCCCATTACTTGAATGAGATCTGGAAACCAAGTTCTTGCTGGCCAGTAGGGCGCGACTAAAATCAGATGGAGGCTCTGCGTTTGACTGATTTTCTGTAAGACTTGTGGGATCAACGCTGGAGGCGGGAAAGCGTACGCGTTGAGTCTCTCCCACGATATGCTTAGAGCGTCCGTTGCCCATGCTAGTGGGTCTGGCACTGGCGACACGAATGTTGTCAGTTGCTTGTTGAATCGAGTGGCGAATAGGTCTATCAGTGGAGATCCTATTTCCATGATTATTTGATTGAATATCTCTGTGTGGAGCATCCATTCTGTCGGCGACGGTTGGTGTGGCCGAGAGAGAGCGTCTGCTAATACATTCTTTGCTCCTGGAATGTGGCAAGCTCTGACGTGTATGTTTAGATTGTCGATTAAATCGAACAGTCTGAAACATCGAGTCAGTAGGTTCTCTGACCTTGTTGAACCTTGTTTATTCACATAAAACGCCACTGTTGAATTGTCTGTGTGAACCATCAACTGAGCGTTCAGTAGTATGTTGCTCCAGTGACTTATGGCGTTTATGACTGCTTGCATCTCTAGCAGATTTAAGTGACATTTGCTGTCTTGATTGCTCCATAGGCCTGACGCTGTCCTGCCAGCAAGGTGGGCTCCCCAACCTTGTAGTGACACGTCTACGTAGAGATGTGAGTTCGATTCTGGCTCTACTAAGGCGACGCCTGCACAAACATTCAATCTCTTGGTCCACCAGAGTAGATGTGGTTTGACATAATCTGGTAGACTGAATAGTAGAGGGTCCTCGAGATGAGCATTGATGAGGACTTGTAACGGACGTAATTGAAGCCTGCCTCTGACTGTCAAGTCTTGAGCTGATGTGAGTAGTCCCAATAGGCTCTGCCACTGTCGTAGTGGTAACGGAGAGAGTAGGGCTTGAGGAATAAGTTGTTGGATCTTGATCCATCTGTCCTCCGGGACTACAATACGATTCTGAGCTG